TGGTCCCCAAACCCCAAGATTCTGATTTAATTGGTTTGGGTTGGAGCCCGGGCATCAGTGGGTGTTTTTGAAAAGTTCCTCAGCAGAATATAATTAAAAAGACTGACAATAACAACTATTGGCACGGACATGGAGAAACTAGAGCCCTTATAATTTCCTGCTAGCAATGTACAATGATGCGACGGCTTTGGAAAGCATTTCGCAGTTCCTTATAAACGTAAACTTACTATACAGCAATACTACTCCTAGGCCCCTATGAGGGGCCTGAGTCCACCCAACAAATAGGAAAACATTGGTTCACACACACTTGTACATGAATATTCATGACAGCTTCCTGCCTAATAGCCAAAAAGTGCAAACAGTCCAAACGTCCATCAGCTGGTAAACAGATAAACAAAAGTGGTATTTTTATACAATGAATACCGTCCAATATTAAAAAAGAATGAACTACTGATACATGCTACAACATGGACAAACCTCAAAAACATTATGCAAAATAAAAGAAGCAAGACATAAAGATTACATTTTGTATGACTTCATTCACAGGAAAGGCCCAGATAGCGACAGAAAGGAGATTAGTGGTTAACCTGGACCTTGGGGGGTGGGAGGAGGGCTTGACTGCAGTCACAAGAGATCTTGTTTTGGGTGATGGAAATGTTCTAAAACTGAGTTGTGGTGATGCAACTGTGTAAACTTATTCAAAATCAATGAACTATTTCAAACAGATGAATCTTATGGTATATAAATTATACCCCAATAAAGCTGTTCAAAAGGTTTTCCCCAGGGCTGGCCGAGTGGCTCAGTTGGTTAATTGTTGGCTTGGGAGTGAGAACTCTGAGCAGCAGGGCTGCCGGTTCGGTTCCCAGATGGGCCAGTGATGCTGTGCCCTCTACAGCTAAGATGGTGAACAACAGCTCGACCTGGAGCTGGGCTGCTGTGAGTGGCCGGCGATGGCGTAGGCTGCAGTGGGGCTGCAGTGGGCTGCCATGAGCTACCATGAGTGGCTGGCAGCTGGCAAGAGCTGCCATGAGCCACCGTGAGCGGTTGTCCAATGGCCAGTGACTGACTGCCTCAGCCTGGAAGACCACAGTGATCATAATACCAACATGGGCCAGGGAGTCCTCCACAGCTACACTGAAGAACAAAAAAAAGGACAGCAATTTATCTGTTTCCCTCCCCCAATTCCCCAATAAAATCTTAAAAAACAAAACAAAAAAAAAACAACAACAGGTTTTTCTCAGCCAAAGTTGAGATCTCTGGGTTAGAAGTCAAGTGTCCTAAGAAACCCTCCACTGTGACCCAGGCTCAGTTGGTATCCTCCCCCTAACACCCACCATGGCTCCAGGTCCAAGTTTCTTCTGATCTTAAACTTTCAGGAAGCTGCCAGCTGTCAGCGTGGCTTCTGTTTCGGAGAAGTCTGGGATTTGATTCTGCTGACTCAGCTCATATGGGTGCAAACATCCTGGCTCTTGGCCAGGCCACAATGTACAAAAAAGAAAACTGGGGGCCAGCCGAGTGGCGCATTCGTTAAGAGTTGGCTTGGGATGCCAGTTCTGAGCAGGAGAGCCCCAGTTCGGATCCCACATGAGAGCCAGTGATGCTGCGCCCTCTACAGCTAAGATGGTGAACAACAGCTCCACCTAGAGCTGGGCTGCCGTGAGTCACCCCGGTGTAGGCTGCAGCTCCTGCTGCAGTGGGCTGCCGAGAGCTACCGCGTGAGCGGCTGGCAGCCGGCGTGAGCTGCCGTGGGCTGCCGTGAGCAGCCATCCAATGGCCGGCGAGCGACTGCCTCACCTGGGAAGAGCACAATGATCATACCAACATGGGCCAATGAGGCAACATCCTCCACAACTAGACTGAAGAACAATAGGACAGCAACTTGTCTGTTCCCTTTCCCCAATTCCCGACACTGTGCCCTTCCCCCAATTCTTTAATAAAATCTTTAAAAAAAGAAAAGAAAAATGGGCATCAGAGGGAATGGGTGAGATGATGGTGGAAACCACCACAGGTGCCCCCAACTCCTGTCCTGTGATGACCCAAACACCAGCTGGGGAGGCTGAGCACTAACCCAGAAAAGGGACTGAACCTGGGTCCCAAGGCCCTGGTTGGACCTGCATGTCCCCCAATCCTGGTGGTGCTCAGGCTATTTCTCCAGACATACCATACCTTTCCACACACCTCCAGGTCTGGGCTCAGCCTGTATCCTTTGCCTTCCTTGCCCAGCTGGAAGATCCTATTCTTCCAACATGATTCAGCCCACCGACATCTCTTCTGAACCTTTTCTTTCGCATGCCCACTCCTTAGTCATCCCAACAGGGCCATTATCTCCCTGCAGCTGAGGGTTTGTTTGTCTGCCTCTCCTGCTCCTCTGTGGGCTCCCTGAGAGCAAAGAGCCTGCCTTATTTATCACTATGATAAATAGATGCTAGGGCAGGGCCCAACACATATCGGTCCTGCAAGTGAAGACATGGAAGGGAGCATGACACCACATCAGACACTGACAGGGCCTGAAAGCCCAGAGGAGACGCCCCATTCCCCTCATCTATTCTTGGCCTAAATGGCTTCTCTCATGTGGCCCCAGAATGGCCAGAAGCCACTCCCTGTGGAAACCACAGTTTGGGGTGGAAGCCTCCCTTCCACAGCCTTTCTGGGGCCAGGCTCTACTCGCCTTGGAAACTGCCTTAGTGTTATTTAAACTGCAGAACAGGGCCTATGGGCAGCTCAGGCCGGGCCTGGGTGGGGACAGCCTGGAACAGGGTCTTGCTGGAACCGCCCTTCCCTAACTGCCAGGACCTCAAGGGTTGGATTGTATGGTTCCCTTTCAGCTGCTGCTTGGCGTAGCAGAAAAGAACAAGGGGGTTAAGGTATGTGGCAACTTCAGCCTGTGTTTCTGCTTTGACATGGAAACTGGGTTCTGTCCGGAGTTGAGGCCGGGTCCTCCAAGGTCCTGACAGCAGGCTTCCTGCCAGGACTGGCTCTCCTGGAGAAACCGGACTTATCCTAACCATCTCTCCCAGCCCAGCGCTGCTGTCCAGAGGCTTCTTAGTCTAGAAGTTTGTGGAGCGCTTGAAAGCCCCAGGATCTTTGCGCACCCTGCTCCTCTCCATCTTGGGAGTAGAGGATGCCAGGCTGCTGGCAGGGACTCTTCCACAGTGGGCAGCTCATGCTTTTCTTGGCATCCCAAAGGGCACTGCCTTAGTGTTCCCATCACAGAAACCAGAGCCTGGAATAGAAACAGGGATACCTGAAAAAGTCACCCGGACTTTAGCCCAGTGTGGTCTGTCCGGGGTCAACAAATATTTACAGAGCATCGAGCACAGTGCTGGGCGTGGGACCACAGGGGTGAACAAGCCCTAGCCCCACCCTTAAGCAGTCACAGTCTAGCGGATGAAGAAAATGGATCAACACGGAACACAGGCCACTGTGGAAATAAAGAGGAGGCGACCTGACCTAGCCTGGAGGGAGGCGAGTGCAGGGAAAGCTGCCAGGTGGAGGTGACATCTAAGACTTGAAGGCTGAATTAGGCAAAGAGGGGAGGAAGAGTGCGAGTAAACAGCATATGCAAAGGCCCAGGGTCAAGAGATAACCTGGTACATTTAGGTAGTTCAAGGTGACTGAGACCAGATTAAGGAAAGGTGGTTTGAAGGTCCAGACCGTGAATAACAGGAATGTATGTGAAGTGTTTGGCACAGCTCATAGTAAACACTCTGCCATGGTAGTTCTCATAATTATGATCTTGTGAACCAAGTTAAGGGTTTGGGATATTATCCTGAGTCCGTAAGGAAGACATTCAAGGGTTTTAAGCCAAGGGTGACTTGATCATATTTGCAATATGACCAGACTTAAAAGAGAGCCGTGTGACTGCAAGATGGATTATGGACTGAGAGAGAAGCCAGGCTGGAGGACCAGCCCAGTTTGGAGACTACCGTTAATAATTCAGAAAAGAGGTATGGGGTAGGAGGCTTCAAATATCTTCCAACAGTAGAGTAGATAAATATACATTGGAAGATAGAATATGGCAGTGAAAAGGAACTATAGCTACAAGCAACCATATGCATGAGTCTTGCAAGTGCAATGTTGAGCAAAACAAGGCACAAAACACAACTGTATAATTCCATTTATACCAAGTTCAAGGAACAGGCAAAACAAGTGTTTAGGGATGCATGCTTAAGTGGTAAAACTATAAAAGCAGGGAAGTGATTATCACAAGTCGTGAGGACAGTGATTACCCTGTTGGGGGCTTCTGCTTGACAATACCTTAACTTTGAGTGTTTAACCAGGTGTTCACTCTGTGACAAATACATTAAAAGTTTTATGCTCGTTTTGTGCATATTTCTGTATATGTGCTATTAACAAAGTTTTAAAAATAATGGGGCTTGATCTAAGATACTAGAAATAAGGATGAAGAGGTTGATTTTGACTATAAGTCCAAAGTGAGATGAGGGTTTGAACCATCTGATGAGAAACCTAGTTTATTTATTTAACTGAGGTAAAATTGGTGTTACATTAGTTTCAGGTGTACAACAGAATTCGATCTTTGTATACACTACGAAGTGATCACCACCATAAGTCTAGTTACCATCTGTCACCATACCATTTAACCTCTTCACCCACCCCAACCCCCAGTTCCCCTCTGATAACCACCAATCTGTTCTCTAGTTTGTTCTTTTAGATTCCACATATAATTGGAATATGGTATTTGTCTTCCACTGTCTGGCTTATTTAGCATAATACCCTCAAGGTCCATCCATGTTGTTGCAAATGGCAGCATTTCCTTTTTTTTAATGGCCAAGTAGTATTCCATTGCATGGGTGTGTGTATCACATCCTTATCCGATCGTCCATCAATGGACGTTTCCATATCTTGACTTCTGCGAATAATGCGGCAATGAACATAGGGGTGCATCTATCTCTTTGAATTAGTGTTTTTTTTCTTTGGATATCCAGAAGTGGAATACCAGGATCATATGGTAGTTCCATCTTTAATTTTTTGAGGCACCCCCATGCTGTTTTCCATAGTGGTTGTACCAATTTATGTTCCCCCCAACAGTGTACGGGGTTCCCTTTTCTCCACACTAGTTATTATCCTCACCTAGTTACTTCATGTCTTTTTTGATAGGAAACCCTAGTTCTTAATTACTATTCATACTACTGCCTTGTTTTATAACACTCTCCCACCCCCAGCAAGCTGCATGGCTCCAGGCACCATGGACACCAGAAAGGCTGCCCAGCTGAGGCATCTGCCACCTCTGGCTCCACAAGGGAAGCGCAAGAGGCATGGCAGGTGGTTGGTAAGCTTCTTTTCCTCTCAAGCTACCACTGGCAAGTCGGCTTACTTGGGAGGCCAGAGGTAGGCGGAGCTAGTGAGCCGGCCGGCCCCCTACCAAGGAATCTTGCAGGGATCAGTGCATGGGATACCTGGCAACTGCTGGTCTCCCTTTTGTGGCTGGTTTGAGGTCTGTGAGCATTTGCACTGCAACTAGTACCCACAGATGTCAGTGTTGGAAAGTCCCTCTGATACGTTTAGTTTGTAATTCCCCAACTTCGCCAAAAGCCACCTTGATTATGTCTCCCACGACTGTTGTTCCTTCGACTCAAGAGCACTTTTAACTTGTGCAGCCTCATTATGGGAGGTTCTATTTGCATGCAGCCTGGCTATGGGAAATAGACAACGTTTTAGACAGAGGGCCAGAGAGGGAAAGCGACTAGCTGTAAGTGGCAGAGCTGCGCCGGGGCTAGGACCCGGTTCCATGCTACCTTCAAAGCCTACGTCACCAGGACTCCGCCCCGAGATCGGCGACTGAGCCCCAGCCCCGCAGGTTCCAAACTCGCCCCGCGCCCCCTGGTGCGCACACTCAGTCCGACCCCGCAGGCGCACCGCCCACCCAGGTCCTCCGGCCCCAACGGGTGTGCTTGGGGGTAAACTGAGGCAGAGAGTGTGCTTGTGAGTTCGTTCCTTCTTCAATTCACACTCCCGGGCCCGCAAAACTGCCTCCCGCTTTTCAGATTCGCGTGGAACAGAAGAGAGAAAGAGGAGGGGGCCGAAAGCAAACAGGGTCTGACGACCCGGCCGGTCCTGCCACACTCAAGATGGCGGCACGGCAGCGGCGAGGTCCCTCAGAGGCGGTACCAACGCATGCGCAGCGCGGAGTCCCGGCCCGGGACACAAGATGGCGGGAGCGGCGCTGGGGAGGGCGAGGCGGAGGCGGCAAAACGGGCGGCCGAGCAGAACGTGTAGCCGCGTCCCCTCGAATCCGCTTCGGGCAGGTAAGAGCCCCAGGAAGCCATGGTCCTGCCCCGAACCGCGCCACGGTCCGGAGGTCCGAAGTCGAGCGGCGGTGGCCCTTCCGACACTTTCCACTCGGAGCCGCCGCTTTGCCTCGTCTCTGCCGTCGCCGCCATCTTAGGCCCGCGGGTGGGCGGCCGGGCCGGTGGCCTGGGTGAGGGAGGTGGGCCCGGAGATCGCGGGCGGAGCGGCCTCCAGGCCCCCTCCGCTGCCGCCGCCGCCACCGCCTTTGTGTCGGGCTCCGACTCTGAGTCGCCTCAGCCCGGGGGCGGGAGCGCGCGGCGGGGCGGGGGGCGGAGCCCGGGAGATGGGCCGGCGCGCGCGCGCGCTAAACAGCCCGCCCCCACTGAGGTGGGGGGGGGAGGGGAAGGTGTGCGCGCACTGGGGGTCGCCCCTCCTTTGCGCGCCCCCCGCACCTGCGCACTTTCCAAGTCCTTTAACTCCGCCCTCCTGAGTCGGAGGATTTTCATTGGTGCATTACGTAGATGGTCCCGCCCCATATCCCTCTAATCCCGGAATCGGACTCTTCGTTCTGATGGATGGATTCCTTTGGTTGCGCAGATACAGTTGTTTATCTTTAAACTGCTCGGCATTGTCAAAACTGCGGTATGCGTGGGGGCCAGGGGGCCACGGAATAAATAAAAACGTTAATAATAGCAGTTATGCCTTACTGAGAATGTACAAGATGCTAGAGTCCACGCACAGAGGCCATAGGGGTTGAGTGATTTCGATTTATAAATTGGAAAGCGGCAGAAGGGTCTGGAACCCACGTGTGTCCAAACCCAGAGCTGGTCTTTTGGCCACCGACCTGCTGCATCCAAATCAACTGGGAAACTTAAAAAAATTTTTAATCGCAAAAACAGGTAAAGATTGAAATACTGTAAAGCGAAAAGATTGGTCATTCCTTCTCTCAGTCTCACCCTTGAGGTGCACTTAAAAATATAAATTCTTGTGTACCTCCCCTATTTCTGACTCCTAAATGTGGAGTGAGGGGACAGGAATCGGATTTTTTTTTTATTTTATAAGTCCCCAGATGGTTCTGATGAGCAGTCCGTTTATGGAAACACTGCAGTGTCCCTGTTTGGCCTCTCTCAGCTGTGCTGCTGTGTGGCCCCTGTATAGCACCTACCTGTGCATCACAATATCACACAGTGTTTCTTGGGGAAAATATTTCTCAATAAAGATTAACACGCTGTGTTATATAATGCATTTGCATGTTTTTTTCTTTTTTTTAAAGACCTCTTTCAAAGAAGTGTGTTTTCACCCACTGTGGGTGGCCTGGGATTTGCTCCTAATCTATGTTATGTACGGTTGTTCACTTTTCTCTTGTCTTAGGGGTACTTTGGTTGGCAGAACCAGCTATACAATTTGCAGGGGTCCAGTGTGCAAAATGAAAATGCGGGATTCTTATTAGAAATGTATTCAAAATTTCAAGACAGTGACAGCAGAGCATTACACCAGGCTCAGGGCCCTCCTCAACACAGGGCCCTGTGCGACTGTGCAGGCCGCAAGCCCATGAAGGTGAACCTGTTTGTTGGAAAGCTTGAGACGTACCATTTTCATGCACAGAATCCCCAGACCCCACAACGGTGTGCCCTGCTCTTTCCTGGGGGCGCCCAACTTACTCTGTGTCATTGCCCCTCTTGCTGTTGTCCCTTCTCTGCAGCATTTCACAGGTCTGTGACTCTTTTCTTCTATTTGCTCTGCAGTTGCTGATGCAAGGAATTCCCTGGGCCCCTGTCCATTCCACTGCTGATCAGCCCACCTACCTGTGCCGAGCCTTCCTGCAGGCCTCCCCGCTGCCTCTGTGGGACCCTGTGCCGTGGGGGTCCATCCGGCCGGAGAAGAAAACCCTCTCATGCTAGCATTGCAGACCCCAGAGGGTGAGAAAAAGAGGGACCTCGTTCAGCCTTGAGACCCATGCCTTGAGGCTCAGCCCCAAGGCACCGGGAACCCCTTCTCCCCCCAGAGAACCAAGGCAGCTACAGCTTTTCCTCCCTTGGTCAGTGGTTCCAAACCTTTTTGTTATCATGGCCCCTTTTTGTTGTATGTATGTCCTCTTGCTCCCTGCATTTTTATCTGCCAAACTGTACTGACGAAGTAAGCATTCGCTTTCCCTTTCCAAATTAACAAAGATGTCTATGATTGAGTGTACAATAAAATCAAATGTCCCAATGATTCCAGTGATGTTGTCAACAGCCAATCAGAGCTTCTGATCAACATGAGATAATGAGTGTGACCACAACGAGTTGATAAAATTTCAGCAAGCAAAGATAACTGATGTTTAAATGTGCCTTTGTGGTCTTTTTGTGGGTAAATGTTTGATTTCTTTTGGGTATTGTGACATACTGAAAACACCTTTAGGACCACCAATCCAATCGCAAGTAGCCACCTAGGAGTCTAACAGCCAGTTTGGGGACTACTTTGGCCATTGAGACTTGTGCCTGGGTGTGTTTTGGGTGGGGGTAGTAGGGAATACAGATTTGAAGGAGCTGACCTTCCTGGTATTTAAATAAAAATTCACCTGGAGATTATGAAGAACAGAATTAGATATTCCTTTCCAGTTCCACTGGCTCTTTTAGTAATAGATTGCTTCCTACCTTGTAGCATAAAATGAGACATCCAGTTAGATGCCATGTCCCTTCCCGGGCTGTGCTCTGTGCCAGTTAGATTTTACTGCATAGGAGCAGGAAAGAGGAGATACAGTTCCTTCTTGTGGGAATAGCTTCTCAAGGGCAGACCCTGTTCTGTCTTGTTTGTCACTCTTGGTGCTTTATAAATACTTGCAGAATGAATAGAGTCCCTGTTGGGTCCCGGTACCCTGCTGAACACTCTGGAGAGGGCTAAACTGGACCCAATGCCTACTCCTGGGAGCTCTGACAGTCTAATGGGGAGACAAGCCCAGCTGATAGACCAGACTTTCTGAATGTGGCAGTGTAGGTATTCGTGGCCCTGAGGAGGGGCTCTGACTACCTAGCTTGGAGAGGAAAGAGTCAAGGAAGGCTTCCTGGAGGATGTGAACTTAGTGGCAAGCCAGGCAGAGAACTGGAGAAAGAATATTTCAGATAGAAGGAGCAACAGGAATGCACCTGTTTTACAGTTGAGGGAACTGCAACTTAAGATGCCTTCTGTGGCACCATGCTGGCTCTCCAGGACAGGACTGGATTGATTTCTCCACATCTGCAGGTGGTCACTGGTGGGGAATGGAGCTGGCCCTGACACCCTTTGGTCCTCTGTGTGGCAGGTCCGGTGTGGGTGCTGAGATGGCCAATGAGAATCACGGCAGCCCCCGGGAGGAAGCATCCTTGCTGAGTCACTCCCCGGGCACCTCCAATCAGAGCCAGCCTTGCTCTCCAAAGCCCATCCGCCTGGTGCAGGACCTCCCAGGTACTGGCGAGGGGCAGTGGCAGGGTGGTGGGGTAGGAAGGGTGCCCCGGGAGCAGCCCTGACCCTGACTGGGTTCCATGTTTGTTTGCAGAGGAGCTGGTGCATGCGGGCTGGGAGAAGTGCTGGAGCAGGAGGGAGAACCGTCCCTACTACTTCAACCGATTCACCAACCAGTCCCTGTGGGAGATGCCTGTGCTGGGCCAGCATGACGTGATTGTGAGTGCCAGCCTAGGGCAGGGGTCTAAGAGTAGCCTCTGGCGTCTGGGTCTTCCCCAAATGTACCCTGAACAACTACTTGTGTGCCTAGTCATGGGGGTACACAATAGTTGTGTATCCTCATGGAACCGAGACTCAGGGAGACTGACATGTGAATACATGATTAAAATAGCGTGTGAAATTGAACTTGTACTACATGTTGGGCACTGTGCTTGGGATACAGTTGTGAGTGAGAGACATGGTCCTGCCCTTGTACTCTCGGGGCACACGATCTGCTGGAGGGGACCGGTAGGGTTAGTGTGGCACTTGCATGATCAGGGATCATGACTGGGGGTGGGGGGGTGGGTAGGGAAAGCCCTGAACTAGCATTTAAGATGAGAAGGTTGGCTAAGGGGGAAAGTGGTAAGGGGAGAAGCACATTCTAGGAACCGCAGCATCAATGCAGTAGGGCAAGTGTGGGCGAGCTGCCGGGAGCGTGGGCTTTGGAGCCCTGTCATTTGGGGCAGACTCTCTTTTCTTGGGAGCAATCAAGCCAGCTGGCACCCCCATTTTCCAGATGATGACACTGAGGCTCAGAGGGGAAATGACTGGCCCAAGACCTCACAGCTAGTAAGAGGCAGAACAGGACTTGTACCTGATGTGATTTCAAGGTCGCACTACCCACCATCACATTGATACTCTTGGTGTCACCAAAAGAATTCCGTCCATGGGGCCTTGCTTTTTTAAAACAATTTCTTGAGTTTTTCCTTTATTGCTGACTTTCATCCTGGTTCTTAAGGAAATGAAACTAACATGTATTGAACGCTGAGCTCATGCCACATGTCCAGCTAAGCTAGTCATATTCATTGGCTTGTTTAATCATCTCACTGGTGAGGCAGGGCTTCAGGGCTGTTTTAGGAAGGGAGTAACCCCCAAGGCCACACAGTTGCAAGTAACAGGCAGGAGTGGAGTCCAGTGTTCTTTCCGCATCCCAGTGCCCTCTGCTCCTCTCCACGGAGTAGGAACGGGGGGGAGGTCATCAGGGTTCCGCAGTTCCGGGACTCCTGAGCTACTGGCCCTGGTTACAACTCTGCTGGTCTCCCTCTTCCAGTCGGACCCTTTGGGACTGAATGCGACCCCACCGCCCCAAGACTCAAGCCTGGTGGAAACTCCGGCAGCTGAGAACAGGCCCCGAAAGCGGCAGCTCTCAGAAGAGCAGCCAAGTGGCAATGGTGTGAAGAAGCCCAAGGTGAGTGTCGCAGGCCCTCAGGAACTGGCGGGTACACGGCTGGCCCAGGCCGCCAGCCAGCACGTTCCCTGCACGGGCTGGGTGTCGGCAGGTTGGTCAGGAGGGGACCCGGGGTGAAGCTCCCCAGGTGCACACAGCTCTGGAGCCATCAGCCAGCTCTCCTAACTCAATGCCTTTGACTCTTGCTCCAGATCGAAATCCCTGTGACACCCACAGGCCCATCAGTGCCCAGCTCCCCCAGTGTCCCCGGAACCCCAACGCTGAAGATTTGGGGGACGTCCCCTGAAGATAAACAGCAGGCAGCTCTCCTCCGACCCACTGAGTGAGTTCCTGTGGATTGGCTTGGGGATGCCCAGTGTTGATGGTCAGCATGCCTGGGACTGTGGGGTGTGGTGGTGGGCAGGGCGCCCCACCTTCCCTTTTCTCTACTTTCCTCATTGCTCCTGTCCATGCCCCAAGGGTGTACTGGGATCTGGACATCCAGACCAACGCTGTCATCAAGCACCGGGGGCCTTCCGAGGTGCTGCCCCCACACCCTGAGGTGGAGCTGCTCCGCTCCCAGCTCATCCTGAAGCTCCGGCAGCACTACCGGGAGCTGTGCCAGCAGCGAGAAGGTAACTGCGGCCCACGCCTCGGCCTGCATTTCCATCCACCTGTAGCAGGAGCGGGCTGGCCAGCCCAGTGCCTGAGAGCATGTGCTGTGGAAGGGACGAGCCTTTGGAGTCCCTGCTCCACTAGGTGCTGGCTCTGTGACTTTGGGCTCATTGTTGAACCTCTCTGCACTTGGGTTTCCTCATCTGTAAGATAGGGACAGTAACAGTGCCTACATAAAGGGTGGCTGGCGTCAGTAACAACAACAAAAATTATCATTAACACTTCCAGAGCACTTACTGTTTGCCAGGCAGTTTGAAGCCTTTTTATGTATCTGTAAAAGGGCATAAAAGTGAGAGTACTTGTACCTCACAGGATCACTGCAAGGAAGAAGAATGGAAAGTGCTCAGTAAACGGCAGCTTTAATTAATAAGTAGACTTGCTTAGCTCCTGAAATGTAGTTTCCTTTTTTTTTTTTTTTTACCATATGCAATGCTTATTAACACTCTTTATGAAACTAGTGATTCGCAGAATATAGTTTGGAAGATGTTGCCTAGAACGGAAGCTCCTGAGATAAGAGGGGCCGCTTCGTTTCCTGTTGCACCTCCAGTGCCCACGCAATGCCTCCTGTGTGCTGGGCAGCCTGGAGTCTGCTGACTAAATGCAGACTGTCACCAGTTCTCCTGTTCTGCAGGCATTGAGCCCCCTCGGGAATCTTTCAACCGCTGGATGCTGGAGCGCAAGGTCGTGGATAAAGGCTCTGACCCTCTGTTGCCAAGCAACTGTGAACCGGTCGTGTCGCCTTCCATGTTTCGAGAAATCATGAATGACATTCCCATCAGGTAACAGCCTTACAGCTGAGGCTGACCCAGGGCCACTTAGTTCATGTGCCCAGTCCTGTATAGAAGGGCTCTAACTCTGCCACTCTCTAACCCAGGTTATCCCGAATCAAGTTCCGGGAGGAAGCCAAGCGCCTACTGTTTAAATATGCGGAGGCCGCCAGGCGGCTCATTGAGTCCAGGTTTGGCTTTCTCCTGTTCCCAGCAGGGTGGGTCTGTGATCAGAGGGTGGGGGGTGGGGGGGCATCAGGCCATCTGGCCCACTCTCACAGGGCTGTCATTGCTTTGGTGGCAGAAGTGGGGCTGGCTCCCAAAGGCAGAACAAAAGCTGTGATGGAAGCCTTGGGGTTTATGTCTGAATGCCAGTGGAAGTGGGATGGGGGGAGTGGAGTAAGGGCAGAGCAGACACGGAACTGGCCCCCTCATGCACCCCCAACTGGCAGGAGTGCATCCCCTGACAGCAGGAAGGTGGTCAAGTGGAACGTGGAGGACACCTTCAGCTGGCTGCGGAAGGACCACTCAGCCTCCAAAGAGGACTATATGGTGAGTGGCCCCAGGCAACGCCTATGGAAAGGCTCTGCGGCCGCTTCCTCCGAGAAGCCCACTCTGCCTGCCCAGGCGAGGCAGGGCCCACAGCACACCTTTGACACTCATCAGTCCCCAAACTCACGTATATGGAGATGTTTGTCTAGGCTCCTGGCTTTCTCCAAAAGCACATTTCTTTAAGGTTTTTAATAGAATCCTGTGCTCACCCATCAGTAGCTGCCTTTTCAATTTAATGAACGGGCACAATCTCCGTTTTGGAAACAGATTGACAAACTGCCTTTTCTTGGGTGTGTGTGTTCAGAACACAGTTAAGAGCTACCACAAAATTCAGTTCCCTACTTTAATGTGTCCAAACCAGTTCTTTTTCTGACCCAAACCCATCACTTCTTTAATTATCCACCAGCACTAGCAATGGGCTTTCTTTTCAGGACCATTTCTCACAAGAGACAAGGTTCCCCACTTCACAGTAGTAACTGTACTTGACACGTAGTGACAAAGGTAGGTGTGCTCACTAGCCAGAGTGACTCCTTTTCACTCATCAGTTTCACACGTGATTCAGTAAAATTACAAATGCGTACGGTTATCCCTGCAAGTTGCTAGAAGCTCAGATTTCAAATCTGCAATGACCAAGGACCCCATTTTGTAATGTTCTCTCTCCCCGATAGACTGCAAATGCTTTATAAGTGGGGACTGCGCCTGTGTCCATTTCCCCAGCAAGCATGGGATCCAGCACAGTGGAACCCCAACATTAAGTGCTGGCATTTATTGGACACTTATTGTATGCCAGGGGCTTGGTAAGCTCTTAGGGGGAATGATATTTAATATTCCAACTGCCTTATTAGGTAGGTATTTCAGCTGAGGAATAAGATTCAGAAATGCCAAGGGATACAGCTAGTAAGTAGCAGAGCTGGTTTCAAAATGAGGATTGCTGCAGTCCAGCAGCCCACCCCTGCCAACCCACTAGAGCCCTCATCATGGGTGTCTCCTGCAGGATCGCTTGGAGCATCTGCGGAAGCAGTGTGGCCCCCACGTCTCAGCTGCAGCCAAGGACTCCGTGGAAGGAATCTGTAGTAAAATCTATCACATCTCCCTGGAGTATGTCAAACGCATCCGAGAGAAGCACCTTGCCATCCTTAAGGAAAACAACATCCCAGGTAGGGGGCCAGGTGGCAGGGAGCCAGTGGTGATGCCATCAATTCCATATCCCAGGCCCTGATTAAAGGACAAGTGAGGCTGAGCTTCAAGGCTACGGACTGGTTTGGGGAGGGCCCATTTCTCCAGCAGTGTCTGGGGCAGGCCCTGCTGTGTCCTTTGGTCAGGGGTCTCAGCACTCTAACCGGGGAGAAGTGATAAGAAAGGGAGGGCCACAAGGTAGGAAAGACAGGCAGGGGTACGTAGTTAGGTGGGCCTGTGTTTATATCCATTCTCTGCAAGCCTCACTTTCCCCAGACTGAGGTCTGATATCTGATCACGTGAGAATTCAATGGTAACTCGAAGTGGTTGGCTCCAAAAGATCCCTAGATGAGGTATCGTAACTATCATGACGAAGGCGCTAGTTAACCATACTTGCGCATGGCATCTGAGCCTGCTAGCCTGCCAGGCCCCGAGGCAGGTGTGCTGGAGGCCTGTGGCAGTAGAGAGCACGTTAACACGGGTCACCAGTTCTTGCCCCTGCCAGTCACCTGGCTGTGTCCTGTTACTGAACCAACGGAGCTGCATTTACTGTGAAGGGTGGTTACTGGGACGTGGTAGGAAGCCCCCGCACATGGTGGGCGCTGAGGCTGTCAGGGGTGAGGTTGGCAGAGTGGGGCAGGGCGGCCCCTCACTGCTCTCCCTGTCCACAGAGGAAGCGGAGGCCCCAGAAGTGGAGCCTCGCCTGGTGTACTGCTACCCGGTGCGCCTGGCCGTGTCTGCGCCCCCCATGCCCAGCGTGGAGATGCACATGGAGAATAATGTGGTCTGCATCCGGTATAAGGGAGAGATGGTCAAGGTCAGCCGCAACTACTTCAGCAAGCTGGTAAGAGTTGGGGGGAGGGGAGGCAGGTCCCTACAGGTGGGAGAAGCAAGGGCTGGATCTTTCTTGAGCCAGAGTCCTTAGCAAGGGGTCAGTGACGAGGGAGGGACCTGTGTGAAGCCCACTGCTTTCTGTCCCACAGTGGCTCCTTTACCGCTACAGCTGCATTGATGACTCTGCCTTTGAGAGGTTCCTGCCCCGAGTGTGGTGTCTCCTCCGACGGTACCAGGTACAGGCCTGGGGCAGCAGGGGAGGGCTCCTCTTGCGGAGGGGGAGGCTGTGCCCCAGACGCTGACTGCAGCCCCTCTGCAGATGATGTTTGGCGTGGGCCTCTACGAGGGGACAGGCCTGCAGGGATCACTGCCGGTGCACGTCTTCGAGACCCTCCACAGACTCTTTGGTGTCAGCTTCGAGTGCTTTGCTTCGCCCCTCAATTGCTACTTCCGCCAGTACTGCTCTGCCTTCCCTGACACAGACGGCTACTTCGGCTCCCGAGGGTGAGAGCCAGGGGTTGCTGGGCCCCTCCTGCCCAGGCCCAGGAGGCTGTCCCCAGAGAGTGCAGATTCCACCTCAGCCAGCTGCTTCCTAATGCTTTAGGGCTTTGGAGTCAGTCAGGCTCAGGGATAGTCCCTGCCCTCACCCCACCAGCTGTATGACTTTGAACATGTGGCTGGACCTCTGGGAGCCTCTGATTTCCCCGTAACCAAGCCTGTGTATTTCTCAGTGAATGAGCCCAGGTTTGGCGTACTGGGAGGAATGAGAAGCGGAGACCTTACAGACTAACATGGGGATGGGGTGGGAGGACATGATGCTGTCTCCAGCAGGAAGACAGGGCCAGGCCAGCAAGAGGGAATTCCTGGGGGTGGCTTGTGCTGTGGTGGCAGCAGGGTCAGAGCTGGATTTGAGTTCCAGCTCCATTAACCAGCCTGAGCCTCTCTGTCCTCAGCTATTCCATGGAGGTGGTCACACCTTGTCCCAGGATGAATATAGGCCTCTGGCCTCATCAGGGCCATCTCTTCAATGTGGCTGAATAAGAGTGGGGGTGGCCCCTGTTTTTGGCTGAGGGACTGGATCCTGGTGGGACTTAGAATGCTCACCTCTGTCCCCAGGCCCTGCCTGGACTTCTCCCCGCTGAGTGGGTCCTTTGAGGCCAACCCTCCGTTCTGCGAGGAGCTCATGGAGGCCATGGTTGCTCACTTCGAGGTGGGTATACGGCTGTTGGGGGTGGCAAGCAAGAGTGCCAGCCACCTGGAGGGCGGCCTTTGATGTCCATCCATCCCGTGCCCCCTCCCAGAAACTGCTCGAGAGCTCACTGGAGCCCCTGTCCTTCATCGTGTTCATCCCCGAGTGGCGGGAACCCCCGACACCAGCGCTCACCCACATGGAACAGAGCCGCTTCAAACGCCACCAGCTGATCCTGCCCGCCTTTGAGCATGAGTACCGCAGTGGGTCCCAGCACATCTGCAAGAAGTGAGTGCCCAGGGAGGGCAGGGGTGGGCGGGCTGGCTTGGCCGAGCCCTGCCCTGAGCTGCGCCCTCTGCCCGCAGGGAGGAGATGCACTACAAGGCCGTCCACAACACAGCCGTGCTCTTCCTGCAGAACGACCCTGGCTTTGCCAAGTGGGGGCCGACACCGGAGCGGCTGCAGGAGCTGAGCACCGCCTATCGGCAGTCAGGCCGAAGCCACGGCTCCGGCTCCGGCTCCGGCTCCGGCTCCGGCTCCTCTTCCTCCTCCACCTCCTCCTCCTCCTCCTCGGAGGCCAAGGACCGGGACTCAGGCCGCGAGCAGGGCCCTAGCCGCGAGCCTCACCCCACTTAACATCCTGCGGGGAGGAGGAGCCCCAGGGTGCTGGTATGGACTGCTGGGACTCAGGGCTCTTGGGGCTGAGCAGACCCCAGGACCCTCCTGGGGTGACAGCAGGACTCAGGCTGCAATGACATAGGAAAATTATGGCTCCGCCAGGGCTCCCCCTCCCTGCCCACGTCCCCCAACTTCCCACCTCGAACTTCCTCCAAATCCCCTGTAAATAGGCCCCATGCCTCCCCCCTCTCCCCTCCCCTGTGCCACCTTGTTTCATTTGTAAAAGGAAATACAGAACCCCGTCCTCAAAAGAGTGTGTGAGGGTCTTGAGGACAGAGAAGGCTGAGGACCCTGGAGCTACTTCTGGGACCACAGCCCTTGACATCCAGGCTCACCTTCTCATGACCCTTGGCCTTCACACCCACCCCAGGACTTTAGTGTCTAATTTCGCACCCTGCTGTCCCCCGTAACTGGGACTCTGGTGGCCTCTGCCTATTCCCAGCAGGTCTAGAGTGCAGAGCCCTGCACCATCTATCTGGTAAGCCCCAAACTCCCACAGCTGGACCTGTGCTGGTCCCTCTGGGGAGTAGAGGACTGGCGGCTGTGCCCAGGTAGAAGCTAGACGTCTGCTGGCCCTGGAGCCACTATAGTGAGTGGGCAGCCAGGTGTGTTTTACAGTCAGGTCTGGAGGAAATACAGCTCAGAGGCACCACGGGCCTCGGTGCGGCCTCTATGCAGACAGGCAGCTGGCCGCACTACCCTCTGAGGACCTCTAGGCATGGAGCAGACGCCCCTCTGGGGCCCAGGGGAGGAAGCTGGGGGCTCTTGCAGGCTGTGTCAGGCGTCTGCCCTGCTGTAGGGCCACCATACTTACTGAGGCAAAGCTGGATGCACTGCGGGCTAGGCCACCTCTGCCTCACTCCCCCCTTGTGGCTGTAACAGGCTCCTCCTTCCTGCTGCTCCCCAAGTCCTTGCCTGCTTCAGGCTGTAGCAGCAAGTGGACAAAGTGAGCTGGCCAGGGCTGGACTCTGGTCCCTTTATTGAGACTGAGAGGCCAGTGGATCCATCGCAACAAAAATAAATCTCTCCCCCAAAGCCTGCCTGCAGGCTGGGGCACCCAGCATGTCCTGGCTGGGGCCCATGGCTGTCCCCCAACCCCCACAGCACAGGTCTGGGGCACCCAGCATGTCCTGGCTGGGGCCCATGGCTGTCCCCCAACCCCCACAGCACAGGTCTGGCTCCCTTGGAGTGACAGGATGCTGGCTGCCCAATATTTGGAGACCCTAGGTGGAGCAGGGAGTCCCCATGGGTCCCCCCAACCCCCAGCAGGGCTGGCCCCAGTATCCATGGTCTGCGTTGGGCCCCTGGGGCTCAGTCATCGGTCAGGGTGATGACGTCGTACTCGATCCCCTGGTGTTGCAGCTGTTGGATGTGTTCAGGCACTGCCTCCTCTGAGCCAAACAGGCCCTGGGCTTGGGCCATGGCAGCATCGGCCACTGCTGCCGGGTGGGGGGAAAGGATGGTAAGCCGGAGGCCCCAGAAGTGAGGCCTGGGTCCCGGGTCCCCATGGTCCCCATGGTCCCGGCCCATACCTGTGACAGCTGAGTGTGCTGCAGCCTCAAGCTGGGCCTGTGTGACGAGCTGCTGGCCTGGAGACACAGGCACATACTGGATCTGGAGGGGAAAAGCCAATGAGATGTGGCCTTGGAGGTGCCTTGCCCTTGCTCTACCTGGTCCCCCAGGGGCCATACCTGGGACTCCTGAAGGAATGGGGCCCCTTGTTCATACTGGATGTGTGTGATCTGGCCCTCCTGTACCTGGAGAGAGGAAGCCAACCCGGTGATCCCAGGAGGAGGTTATGCATCCCCCCCCACCCCACCGTCGCCCCTGGTCTGGACTACCTGGATGTGATGGCCCTCTGGGACCACAACGTATTCTTGGGGGAGTAGGTGCTGGACTCCGTCCTGAGAGATGATGTACTGTACCTACAGAAGGGTGGAGAGCAGGCAGGTGCTGGGGCCCCACTTGCCAGGAGTTCAGCAAGGATGGCAGAGCAGGGGGGCCAGGAACGCCCACCATCAACAATGGCAACTGCAAGCACGCCGTGGGAGGGGTGTTCCTCCCCAAAGTGGGGCCTGGGGGGGGGGGACAGCACTCAGGGCTGTGTTCAGCCGCAGCTCACCTGGTTGTCAGAAGTCACCAGATGCTGTACCGTCTGGCCATCTGCTGTGGTGATCTCTTGGATGTAGGTGGCTTCTTCCTGCCAGGGCCAAGCCAGCTCTAGCCTCAGCTTTCCATGCGCCCCCACCCCTGCCTCTGACCTGCCGGCAGGGCTCCTGCCCCAGGCTCTCACCTGATTGGTCACTGTCTGCTCCTGGGCCACGATGATGTGTTCCTGGCCCAGTGCCTGCTGCAGCTGCTCTGGGCCCAGGACCCCATGACTGGACTGGAGTGCGGCTGGGCAGAGAGGGAAGGGTGCTCACTCAGCGGCTCCAGGGGCAGTGGCTGAAATCCCTGGTCCACCCTGGGGCAGCTTACTGTGCAGTGTGGCCAGGGCGTCGTCATCACTGTTCAGGATGATGGTCTGGGTGGGGGTCTGGCCTGGGGTCCGGGCAGTAGGGGTCCCTGCCTTTCTCCCATCAGGACTATGTAGCCGCTGGATGTGGAACTTGAGGTGCCCATTCCGGTTGAAACTGCGAGGGGGGTACAGAAGTTCAGGGGTGGCCTCACCACGCATGCTCAGCAGCCCCAGCCCACCTGAACCCGGCCTCACCGCTGCCCACAGAGGTGGCACGAAAAAGGCTTCTCATTGGTGTGGGTCAGCATGTGTCGCCGCAGGTCCTTCTTGTTCTTGGAGGCAAAGCTGCACTGGCTGCACTGGTGGGGCCGCAGGCTCGAGTGCTGCGCCATGTGGGCCTGTGGAAGGGGCAGAGTTGGGCATCAGCTGGGTCAGGACAGGCAGCTCCACAGACAGCCGTCAGGGAACCTGTCCTCGGAAGTGGATCTGGGAGGAGCTGGGTAAAAAGTACAAACCAGACTCAGTTTACCCCTATGTAACTACAGGTTCAGATGAGGGGCCCTCTGAGGTCTCTCCCAGCCCTGACATTCTAGGGCTCTGAGCCCTGCGCCCCTCACCGAGATGCTGTGAGGATCCAGTGCCTGGTCAGATCTGAAAACTGGAATCCTCGGGTGAAGGGAGGGAGCCCCCCAATGACTGTGAAATGGCCCTGAAGCCTCCCTTGAACTGTGCACCCTCCATACTCTATAAACAACTTGAATTTCTCTAAGCACACCTCATGCTGCGACACCTCCTCTGTGACATCTCCCAGCACCCCAAGTCCACAGGACCTGTTCCCTGTCTGTGCTCTGTCATGCACTTGTTTACTCTGGGGACACTGGTATCAGTCACATTGTCTGGTCTCGCCCCCACCCCTGACTGAGCACCATGAAAGCATTCCTGAGTCATCTCTGACTAGAGGGGAGCAGAGGGCTGGCTCGGGGGCGGGGAGGGGTGCTCAGTCAAGGTTTGTTACACAAGCGAGTGCCAGCAGAGGCATGGGCGGCACCTACCCGGACCTCAGGCCACTGACGGGCGCTGAAGGGGCAGTCGGGGCACTTGAAGGCACTCGGCCCGGCATGGGCCCGCTTGTGACTCTCCATCTCGGCCCGGCCAGGGAAGGCCTCTGCACAGATCTTGCAGGAAAACTTCTTGGACGATGCAGTGGCTGCAGATGGTGGTGAGGGAGGCACTACCAGGCCCAGGGCTTTGCTGGCTGGAGGAGGTGGGGAGGCAGAGTCCTGGGGATCCCCTAGTGGGTGGGTCCTGGCTTGAGACGGGGGCTCAGGGTCGTCTCTGGGTGGCCCCCCACATTGCAGCAGGGGCCACTTGGTTCCAGAGGCCAGGGCGTCGGGACTTGGGAAGGAGATGGAGCCATCTGTGCTCAGCTGTGGAGAGAGAGGAGCATGAGGCGCTGAGGAGGGAGGAAGGGTGGAAATGGGGTAGAGTGGGTTCCGCAGCCTCACCTCGATGTGATGCAGCTGGGTCCCGTCGGCTGCCATGATGTAGTGGGTGCCAGCTTCTTTCAGGGTGTCACTCACAACCACAGTCTGGGCCGCCTCCCCTGGGGGCTCCTCGCTGTGGGAGCAGAGGAAGAGAGGGGTGAGTCAGGGTTATAGGAGGGGACAGAAGGCCACAGGAGTCCCCTTCCCAACAAAGTCATCAACTGAGAGGTGATGATACCCCAGATGACCCCTGGATTGAATCCTGGCTCTGCCCTTGACCAGCTGAACCTCCGCTGTCTCTTCTGTAAACAACGAGCCCATGTCCAGAGTACTGTCTGGCTTAAAAGTGGTAAGGGGCGGCGAGGAGAGGGCCCCAGGGGTCCAGCCTAAGTCTGGCCAAGTGAGGGAGGCAGGGCTGACAGGGACCCGCATCCCACGAGTAGAGGGCAGATGCTGAGACACAGCTGCCCAGGGGCTGGCCCAGTGATCCTGACTCCCATCCCAGCTGAACAGTTTGGTACTTGGGTTCAGGGCTTCCTTAGGGGTTCGGTCAACATAAAACAAAAACATTAACTGCCCCAAACTCGCTCAGTGTGGAGGAAGCTGAGTGCAGCCGCCGGGGACAGGAGGCTGAGTGTGCTCCAAAGGTCAGAGCTGGAAAACATATCAGGAACCATCCAGAACAAAGAGCACATGGGAGTGGGGTTCAGAAAATCCTCACTTACTGCTGCATGTCTGACCTCAGGCGAGCTATTTAACTACCCTGGCCTGTTTCCTCCTTTATAAATTGAGGAAACGTGGATCTCATGGGCGTGGCTTAGGTGAGTTCACGAATGTCAAGTGCCTGGAACATCTAAGTGGCCAAAAAAATAGTAGCTTCTGACCTGAGAAGGATACGACTCCCCTACGGCCCAGTCACTTCATATGTATTAGGATTTTTACCTCCTGCCAACCAGGCTCGCATGGGCAGGGTCCTCGTTTGCCTCCCCACAGCATGCCTCGAGCTGGAAGAAGGTGGCAGGTCTTACCTGTAAGGTGTGCCAGGAGCTGACGTCCCCTCTTCCATAGGGGGTGCTGTGATGACACTGTAGCCAGCCCCACCAAATGGACCAGGTGCCAGGGTGATCTGCTGGAGGTCAGGGGAGCCTAGCTGGCTCTCGGCTGCCACACCGCCCCCCGGCTCTGCCACGTGGAGTGTTACCACTTGTGGAGTGGCACTTGCTGGGGAGGGCTGCCCACCAGGGGATGCCAACTCCGCTTCTGCACTCTCCGACTTCACAACGGCCACCTGCAAGGGCATCAATGATTATTTTGAGCAGTGTCTGTGAAAAAGGAGCTGGTGTTCTAGACTGTTCTCTATCTCAGGGCCTCAAAGCTCACCCAGGCCCCGGCCAGACCTAGTGCTGCTGCCACTTATTTGCACAACTGCCACTATCTGTTCTCTCCAAAACATACCCTGGATTTCCAAATGCCACCCACCTACTGAAAAAGACTTAACAAGAATAGGGTAGAGTGATACTGCCCCCCAAGGGCATTGGGCAATGTCTGGAGACATTTTTTGGTTGTCACAATTGGAGGGGGCGGTGTTACTGGCATCTAGGGGGCAGAGATCAGGGCTGCAAAACATCCCACAATGCACAGGATAGCCCCCACAACAAAGAATTATCTGGCCCAAAGCGCCAAGGTTGAGAAATCTTGAAATAAGAGGTACAAGCAGCAAACCATTTAAGAAAAAAAAAAAAGCTTGATCTCACATCTTACTTCAAAGTCTGCTTCAAATGGATTACAGACTGCAATGTAATAATAAAACTCTAAATATATGAAGAGAAAATGTGGATAAGTATTTTTATAATCCTGGGGTGGGACTATCATGACAGAGATGCTAAGACCTACAGCAAAACAAACCATAAAATGAAATCATAAAACAAAGAAATTGGGGAGTGGGTGGGACCTAACAAATCATGAGTTAAAAGGTGGACTTCCTTCATATACAATGATACACACACATGGCTCTTGCAAAGCGCTAATTAAAAAGAAACCACCTAACAATTGAATTAAAAAATTGATACAGGATCCAAACAGGTTAAGTCAGAGAAGAAATAAAACGGTCTATGAACACAGAGAAAAAAGTTCAGTCTCATTTGTGATTTATAATCACAAAATTATAAATTATGACCATGAAATATACTTGTTACGTAGAAGAGATTTATAAAGGCTAATGATACCCAGTGTTGGCAAGGGCACAGGGAAGCACGCTTTAGTGGTGGTCATATCTTTTTATGAGGCTTCATACTTTCAGACCCCCCAATGCTACTTCTAGGTGGCCTTTCTAAAAAAAAAAAAAAATTTATGAGCAT